CATGCGATCTCTTTACTGCTCATTTGTAGGTTGTCACTTTAATGAGACAGTTTTCCCGTCGTTAAGGGGAGATAAGAATGTCAACATTCCTGGAGAACGACGCGAATTTGCGTGGACGTTGCCCACTATGTCTCATCTCGATCCCCATACCGTACAAGTGTGATAAGCAAGTGCGATGACTTCTAGATTTTAGAATGTTGCTCCAGACGCATTCCTCTCATCTAGCTAAAGTGACGAGATCATTTACTAGCTGCAAACATGCATGTAAAGATAGACGTACTTAACAGATGTCGAGTCAACATCCCTGAATGGTGTGCCACCCCTGTTGGACGGTTTGGAAGCCCTTGTTGGACGGTTCGGTACACCGGCGGATAGCTAATCAATCTATCTTGGCTTGGAGCACGACCGATCACTCAGTTCGTAGGATTCATTTCACTGTAAGAGGAAGACACGGCACAACAATGAATCTAAATTTGATCGTTGTCTTAAATCATTTCCATCTTATGAGATTAATCCGGATTACCCCTGAGACTTGAAGTTCTTGGTCCAGTATACTAGTTTGGATGAGAAAATGGAATTGAAATGAGATTATCATCGATGATGTTTTCACTTAAATGGTAGCTATTGACATAAATGAAAAGCAACGATATTGAACCGTATTCCATTGATTAAGTGACAACGTAGAATTGATTGGACAACTAAAGTTTCCAGGTCAAATTCCTTACTATAGTGTGTATTGGACCTGTTATCCCTACACTGCCTAAGATAACCCTGTTGTGTTACAAGTGGGAAAGGAAGCGTATTGAGATGAATGAAATGGTGCGATATGATGCACGCCTTACGGCATAAGGTTTCTCTTAAACATCTTGTGATTGATAACAGCATTATGAAATGTGGTTAGTGTTTCTCCATGGGGATATAGATACGGAAATTTACATGTAAGTTCTCGAAGAATTACATGGATTATTTCAAATAGTTCCAGAACCATGGAACACCCTCTTAACTTGTTTTGAGGCGTTCACTACAATCCGACGGATGTGGTATACCCGTCTAAGTGATTATTTGATCAGTCAGGGATATGAATTATGCCTTTGCGTGTTAAACTATGAAGTCTTATTCCAAATTGCTAGAGATATAGTTTATGTCGTTAACACGAATCTCACTAAGACTCCGGAAGAGCTTGAGAAAACTGCCTTGCACCTGAAGATGGAATTTGAGATGAAGGATCTTGGGAAAACTCATTTATACTTTGACCTGAAGTTCAAGTGTTGTTCTGACGATATTTTGGTCTACCAGTCGAATTACACCCTGAATGTGTTACCTTTGAGTATACCTATGATCGTCCATACGTTATATGCAAATGAGACCCTTAAAGAGGTTATGGAATCTGAAATTCCATATCTAAGTTCAACTTTGTGTTTTGTTGTACGTAGCTCATTGTATTTAGACAAGACATCTCCTTCGATGTTTATCTTGGTAAAGATGGAGCACCGCGCCAACACGCATCCACTGAATTAGTATTAAAGACTACCCTGAAGGTACTACATAGGCAAATCCCAACGCATCTTAGCGGATCCAACCCCCCTGATCCTTGAAATGATGCTTGCCTTATTGTTATGCTGACGCAGGTTACTTATCAAACCCGCACAAGGCAAAGTCCCCAAATGGTTATGACTTTACCGTTAGGGATATCTTAATATCTTGGAGGTCCATGATATGACCTTAGTTGCGAAATCTTCGAATTGTTCCAAGACTCAACTCAGTTTACTACACCACAAGTGAGACATGGTTAGGAGTTCTTGTTGAGCATATTTGAAGTACTTACTGTGTTTTCATCTATCGTTGAGTCCCAACAACAATCCATGAAGATTATGCCGCATGTATCCACCCGACCAAGCCATGATACATCAACAAAATCAACACCAAGACATATTGCGTCTACATCAGCAAAGCATCAGGAGATTGAAGTCATGCAAGCTGATCCCAGACAACCTTACCGACCTCTACATGACGTCACTGCCGAAGTCAACCTTCTAGAAGCTTGTCCGAGGAATTGGTATGCCTAACTATTCATATGCAAATGCTTGTAATTCTCATTTGGAAGTTATGTCAAACTCAAGGGGAGTATCCAGAAGTATACTCACTTGATCTTAATGTACTCTTTTTCCCTACGATTAGGAGCATTTTTCCCACTGGTTTTTGCTACCTATCTAGGTTTTAATGAGACACCCATCTTGGGCTAATCATACCCTTGTGAGCTATTTTACTTGCGTCCAAAAGACGTATAGTTTTGACTTAATGCAACTTCTCACTTTTCTTCTTAGTCTATGGGTTTTCTCCCACCTTGGATTTTACCATAGCGAGTTTTTGTGAATTTTACTTTTTATGCATTCTTCCGTTGATTTGAGACTCGCATCCGCTCATTGTGTCGACGACTTCATCAACTATACTTGCTTCATCACTGAAGACCTGATGCGCCATTTACTTGAGTATTTACACACTCAAGGGGGAGTGTTGCGGTCCTATTAGATTAGGAAAGTGATTGTGTAAATCCTAGTATATCTTGGAATATCTCTTATATTCCTATTAGGAGTAGATTACCTATTAAATGTTGTAATCCTAAAAGGAAAGGTTTTTACCTATCCTACTACTATAAATAAAGGCACAATGGGGTGAAATAGAACACACCCACAATTACACATCTTTCTCTTTCTCTCTATCTATGCCGCACCCCTCTCTCTCTGGCCTCCATAATTGTTCAATAAATTATGCTTACAACACATTATCAGCACGCTCTTGACGCTGTGCTAAAGAGAGTTTGATTTTCAATCAGGGGAATATTACGTTTTAATCATTCTTTTTATGATTAATTATTATTTTATTGAATTGATCTACATGCTATTGATTCAATTTAATTTTTTCTATGTTGAACGTGATCAATAATCATCAAAAATCAATTTTTTGAACGTCATCATTTTTTTTTTGTGTTGAATTGTTCAGTAAGTTATGCCTACAACAATAATCAATTTTTTCTTCTAATCTCATCTAAAAACAAAATAACAAGAAAATAAATATAAAAATATTATTATAAAGTCAAATAGAAATTTTCAAGATATTTTTATTTAAACTAGGAGAAAATATAAAATTTTTTATTTCATTTTTTATTTTTCTGTGCTAAGTGGTAAAGGTTTTCAATGAATATAAGCCTTTGGAATATATATGTATTGGGAGTTTTAATGAAACACTCTCGGTATTATTCATTTTTAACGAAAAAGACATTTTTACTCTAAAAAGTCACTCCTGGTACTATTCACTTACAACACATTTTTGTCATTTTGATTAAAAAATCAAAGTTTTCAAGCCCTTTCAATAGTTATGGAATTTTAATGAAACACGCTTGGTACTGTTCACACGACAAGGACATTTTCATTTTCTTGTGCTAAGTGGTAAAATTTTTATAAATATAAGTATGTGTGCTATGAATAAAATCTTATATTTTCTATATTAGGTTAGAGTGTCAAGTTAAAGAGAAATTCTAAGTGGAATTGTTTTGTTGAAGAAATCCAGTAGAAGCTAACAATGCATTACAAGATTGTTGCGGTATCATGCCTTAAAATATATAATTAATGACTAATCATTGTGATTTTTTACATGGGTACTATACTATGTTTGATCTTCATGGCCTTAGACTTATGATGACCTCGGATTTTCTACATAGGTACTAAACATTGTTTTCAGGGACATGAAACCTCAGTGGTAACAATTGTAACTTGTTTGTATTGATAAATTATGAACAACATTAATATTGTTTGCTATCCAAAAGAATTTTGTTGCCTACATTTTTTTTTTAAACTTTTACACTTTTTTTCGCCCTTCCTAAAAAAATTCTTGATTTCACCACTGGTGGTAATGACAATGGTAGTGGCAAAACGTCTAGTTTTAAGCTCTTCTCGCCTTCTTCTCCAACTTTCCTCCTCCATTGACTCCACTTGGTTCCCTCCAACCTCTCTCCTCCCTTGTCGCCCTTCCTGTGCAACTCTGACCAAACCAGCACCTGACAATACTTGTGTTTTCCTTGGTGCCCTCTAATTTCCTCTCTCACTACCACCAGCCAATGCCCCTCGCTTGAATTCATGACACCTCTATTATTGTGATATCTGAATCTAACATGAAAGTATAAACCATGAAGGCAAGAACATCCCACCCACCATCCACCGTGTTGTCTTTTTAATCTACCAGCATAGTTAGATTTACAAGGGTTGTTGAAGATATGACATAAGAATGGAGCCGACATGATCTGGTGCTTTTGTGAGGAAGAAGGTTAGTGTTTGGTTATGGATTGATGGAAACTGAGTGTTGGTTATCAAGTGCTCGGTTAATTTTTTTCAAGAATTTTAATTGACACATGAATTTATTTCATTGGGCCACATACAAAAGTTAGTATATCAGGTATTCTCCCGTGAGTATCCAAATATTATTCCCACAAAAATCCAAAATTAATAGAGAAATCCCTCATGGAACACCAGGACCATCTAAACAAATCTGTATAAAAGCATAAGTGAACCACGCCCGCGAACGTTTTATCAATTTTTGTTTAGATGCACACGAGGACCATCTAAACAATTATTTTACTGTTTTGGGTCAAGCAACAATTGTTCAATATATCTGAGGTTTTGCCCAAGGCTTCTTTCTAAAATATTTGATCAAGTATGTGATTTGCAACCTAATAAGGAGATGATCCTTCGGAGATCCCCTATTTTCCTCTATACTTAATTATTAGTTGACAATACTGTTGGAACCTAATTGGACTTTAACTTATCATCTTAAGGTCAAGTGACGTTAAACTTGAAATCAGTTGGAGTCAATAATTGATTAAACCATATCCGTTGAAAGTAGGACAATAAGGATGACATACCAGTAAGTGGATAGCCCTCACGTTGGAATTTTTTTGGATGTGATGGTTGCCAAACTGCTTTCGTGATAGGAGGAAACAGTTAGGGTTTACATCTATAAGAGGATTTGTCCCTACTCAAGAAGAATACGTTCTATTTTCTGAAAACTAGCCCTATTCTAGTGAGAACATAAGGTCCCCATTGAGTAGAAGATATTTCCTTATTCACGGTTCCATGGCTTTGTCAGGCATGCCCATCCAAGTCTACCCAATGAAGATGCCGGCCAGCGTTGTTTCTTGAGTTCTGAAATTGTCCCCCAATGTGATGGTGCTTGATCATTGCGTCATTGTCCATAACGTCAAGGCTTACCTACCCAAAGGTGAGAGTTATTTCTTTCTTTCTAACAAATGCATTTCGGTTGAATTCATAGCCAAGTTCTTGTTCAGATACATGTATGCATATTGTAATTTAGGGTTCTTGCTAATTGTAAAGTTCCAACCATGTATTAGCTCACCCTAAATTCAATTCTTTTAATTACTATTGTCGTTGATTATATTTTGATTCTAGGCACTATAATTCTTTGATTAATGTTTGTTGGTTTTCTTCTGGGTACTGTGATCATGTTTAATACTATGGTGAAAACACCAGAATCAACTTGGGCCTCTCCTTAAAAAACGGGAACCCTCTGAGAACGAGAAAGAGACTGGAATCGTAAAAGAATCAGGTACAGAAACCGTGACCGCGTCCATATCAAAAGGTCGCGTACACCCGAACGCTCCAGGCCACGCAATTGTCAGCGGCGCAAGTCAACTATCGAAGAAGAGGGGTGGTATGTTGTGATTAATTGGCTCATATAATTGAGTTGGCAACAAGTAAAGATTGAAGACCAAATTGATCGGAGTGGTAGGTGTGCAAAGTAAAAGGGTTCCAGAAGCAAGTCGAAAGTAGGAAAGAAGCAGCAACGTTAATCACATAAACACATGGAATTATGCATGTGTTGACTTTGTGGATTAATAAAAGGAAAAGTCAGATAGTTGTTTTGACTAAATGGAGAGAATGAGGGAAGGCATGCCAAGTGCTTATCCTTTAATCATAAAGGAAACTAAAGCCTTGAATTTGGGAGCCAAGGCACAATAACGGCATCGTTAAAGGCATTGCGAAGTAGGAAGAAAACTCAGCAAAAGCCGAGCAGCAATGGGGTTGGTCTGAAAGATTGCTTGGTTGCCTATGATATCACGAATGGCACAAGCTTGGTGGACTAATGTACATGGCTTTAATGGTTTTCTGGTTAAAGCTTTCTTTGGTTTTGATTATAATTGTTCACATTAATGCTTTTCTTGGTGAGTCTTATTCATGAATTGTTGGAGTTTCTGTGGAGCTTTCCTTTCGGTGGAATTTCAAGAAAAGCAGAGATAACATAAAGAAGGCAGAGAGAAAAAGGAATCAAACTCCAACAAGAATGATGCCAAGGCTGCAACATGTCTAACTAGACAAATAATCATGCTATTAAACCATTAAATAAATGTTTGTAGAACTTTCACCAAGGGGGTTTTAAGGAAATTTTGTTTATTAGGATGTTGCATGGACTTGTGGATCATAATCCACAATGGATAAATATGTTGGCCGGTTGGTTTTATAAATCATCATAAGGGTTTTTAATGAATTTTGAGCCAACTATATTCTTTTCCAAAGATTAGAGTATTAGTTGAAACTTGAGCTTTGATTAAAAAGGCTACATAATAAGGGTGCATATCAATATGATATGCATAAATTGCAGTTGTGTATCGTGCCCAAAGGTGTTACATTGCTGTTTCAATTGATTATTTATCAACTCTCCGGCTTTATCAGGTTTGTTCTTTGCTCTTTGTTCCAAAAACTCGCAGTTATATTGAGTTGTAATCTATTATCTATATATGTGGCTAATCCTAATTAGTACCATTAAATTGACTTATGAATGTATTGAGTCGTATATATCTTCTTACAGGGCTTGGGTTGGGGATAATCATTGTGCAGTTGGCTTTTGTTGTTTTAGTGGAAGCTTGGTAAAAAGGTTTAATTAGAAACCCACAAAGTTTTTTTGATACATACGGAACTTGAAAAATAATAGAAACTGGGCATTAATATTTATCTTTATGTTTAAAGAATGAAATTGAGATTGTAAAGGATTTTTTTATGTGCCCTATAGTATTGTAGAAAGAACCAATGTTAGTTCTCAGGCTGAAAAATAAAACTTGCATGGAGGGTTGATATTTTTATTCTTAATGGATTAATACATCAATGTCAAGTCTTTTACAATAATATTTTATGCAATAACCTTTACTTCATCAGGAAAAATCTCTGAGCGAGATTTCATAGTGCAGACTTCTGTACATATGTTTTTCACCAAAGTGAAAAGACTTCAAGAACTGGATTATGTAAATTATGGTTTTTAAACTCATAGCATGTCAATATTCTTTTCCAAAGAGGGGAATGTATCAATGGGTTGAGATGGGTATAACATTTTTAAGAGAATTAAGTTGACTGTTTTCTTGTCCAAAGACTTGAAATCTTGGTTGTTTTCTTAATTTATTACATGACTGTTATACAATAAGGTTACATGATCTAGTATCGAATTATGGCTGTTATGTTTCTTGCCCAAAGGTGTAACATAATCATGCATGAATACTGGAAATTAATATAGCGAAGCAAGTGGCGAAGTTTATAAAGGATTGCTCGGGTACACATTATTTGAGTTTTATGCTTGTAAGTCTTTTTAATTTTGAACTATGATGTTTGTAGAGAATGAAATTGGACTTCTTGAGTTTCTTTTGGACATTGAAATCGAAATGATATGAAATTGAAATTGTTAGGATGCATAAACTCATGATAGATGCACATAATTTTTCTGACAGATTGCGTTTCTTGTTTAAAGTTAGATGAATGACACAATTAATGGTCACCAAATGATCTGAATTTTTGAATGTTTAATATATGTATGTCTGCTATGTTTCTGCAAATTTTCGTAATTTTTTCCCATGTACTGTAATTATGGTGAATTTACCAGTAACTCATGCTTGTATAGGCAGTTATGCTAGCAGATTGGGTTGGTTTTTTGAGACGTCACTTTAGACTATTATTTTGATCTAAAATGGCTCTATATATATATATTTTTTTTTTTACTATGTGAAGTTAATAGGTCTAGTTTGATTTGTGTAATTTTGGTAGTAATCAAGCTTATCAGTTGATTATGATAAATTCAGAAATATATGTAACTCATTGTTAAAATTCTGTTTGACATATTAAGCAATTTGTTGTAAACATTCCTAGAATAAGTATGATTGTGTAAATCCTAGATTAGATTTGATTCTAGTTATCCTTTCCTATTACAACTTGTATTACTTGGAGGAGAAGGAATATCTTCTCTCCCTTTACTACTATAAATAAAGGCACAATGTAGGAGGGATAACAACACACATTCCCCTACAATTCTACAAACACACATCTCTCTCCTCTCTCTCTCTGCCGCCGGCCCTAGTCTCTCTGTTAGATAAATATAGACCACAACACAATTATTTTTTTTGGAACATTCTTTGAAGGAGAATTTTATTTTAGTGTTTGCCCAAGTGGGAGTTGTTTTTGTATTGTCCTAGCACATTGAAAGTGAACTAAAGTTTTAAAGCATATGTATTAAGGTTTCCTTCTATGTTGAATGTATGTGTAATATATTAGCAACTGATTGTTGAAAGAATTACGTTGAATCATGCTTTTAACAATGGCAACATGATTAAGTTGCATAAGTATATATTTGGTATGATTTTGTGTATCCATCATACATGTTGAAACGAATGCCAAGAAATGGATGAGATATCTTGTGGAGGACATATTGTGATATTCTTTCATTGAGATTGTGATTAATTTGCATGCTTAGGAAATTTTATGGTAATATGCTTATGTATAAACTGATTGACGAAGTAAAGTTGCTAGTGCATGTTTCAAAATTTTATCAAAAGTGTTGTTCTGCAATCAAGTTATGATATTGTAGATTAAGATAATTCTATATTGTTTTGCGTTATATCTTGCATATTAACCTAATGTACGCTTATGCTATAAGGATTCCTTTGGTTTATTTAAAGGATGCGTGCAATAAAGAATCATTGTGGCTAACCAGTTAGAAATTGGCTCATTCCGCTACTATGAGAAAGTCTTTTAGACATTAAGTTGTTGATATGCTAAATAAGTGGGACTGTTGTTCTCACTTGTTTCTGTTTAAGACCATTGGTTTTCAACTAATTTCGTAGTTGCATGTCATGGTTTTTCATTGAATAACTAGTTTATTTGCATATAGCAGAATTGATGCTTCACTTGAAGCATTTTGGCAACTCATTGAAGTTTGATAAAGGACCAAAGTCTCTGTTTAAAAGCAAGGATGGGAGTGCTAGAATCATTCGATTCAACAGCTATGTCGGAGTAAACTTCTAATTTGATTTTTGTTTACTTTACAGCTTTTTTTGCAAATAAATGTGAGAAACTTGCTGATTTGGTTCTTTGTATTGGTTTTCACATGAATTGTTTGTAATAAGCAAATGTTTGTCTGTTGGGGTTTGTATGCATTATGCTAACCTTTGTAGCATTGTTTGCTTATTTGAAACTTCAGGTTGTTTAATTGTTTAAGCTGAAAGATAACTAAATATGCTTTTTTAAAACTAAGCAACGATAAGGTAAGGGCTTATCCAGTGGGAGTATGATGCGAAAATTAACTTAACACACAAATTTAACCCTCTTTTGACAATTGTAGTATAAGTATAAGTAGGGATCGTTCTGGACCGGGGATTAGGAGGGCTTACTAATAACCTCTAAACTAACTTAAAAACATAAAACTAAATTTAAAAACACTTAACAGGACTCACAAGACTCAAAGCAAACTTAAAATACTCAAAACAGCTTAAAACAACTAAATAAACTTAAACTAGACACTAGGAATGACTTTGGACGAAAATTGATTTTTACTTGAATCAAAACATTTAAAAACACAAATTAAAACAGATTTGAAACACTTTGAAACAAGAAACTAAAAAGGGGGGTTTTGATTTGGAGGAAGTTGTAACAAACAAACAAGTATGAAAAACTAGACAGATTGTAAAACAAATTTGAGAAATAAGATGATGGATGGGATAGCTAGAGGCTTTTTCTCCACACATGACATGTATGCAAACAACTCGATTTCCAGTTACTACTTCATTGAATTATGAACGACAATGCTCCAAATTAACCGTGACATCACTAGTTAACTCTCAGATTTTCCTTGTTTTATTGGATTGGATGACATCATTCGACAATCCAAAACATTCTTCTAAAGTTCCCTACATGACATCATAATAGAGATACAATAAAAGATCATTACGTTTAATGAAAATCATAAGCATTGACAAAGCACTTGCAACTATGACAGGAATTGAACTTAACGCGATCGTTTATAAGCGACCTTCACTACATGTGAATATAAGTTTGTAACGATTATGTGAAACTTCCTTATATTCTAGCAACGGATTTATGCATGCCAATTAAGTGTCGACCCTTAATTAACAAATACAAATAAGTTATCAATCAAATAGTTAAGCCAATTGCATTCACGATTCAAGAGTTCATAACTGGAATTTATCAAATTATATTGCACACATAATCATGGCTTTGAAATCACCCCTAGCCAAAAGGGGTTTAGCCACTCATATTTACAACAAAACGAAAGGAAATAAATTTAAACATTAGAAACAAAAGAAAGAAAACACCTAAACGCTCCAACGATCCAAGTTGGACAGCAAGCACGTCCAAGCACTTTCCTTCCCTTCCTTTGCTGCGGCACAAGGTGTTGGTAAGTGTTTGAAGGTTTGTTTATATGGAGGAATGGATGTGAAGATGAATGGATGTGTTTGGATGAAGGTTGTATTGAATGCGGCAAAGAGTGGAGAATTGTGTAGATGATGTGTGTGTGTATTTTGGATTGATCCCCCCATAATGAAGGTGGATGAATGTATTTATAGGCTAGGGAGAGGATGTAGTGGGTGGTGGTAATGAGTGGATGTAGTGGTAGGTGAATGTGTTGGGTGGTTGAAATGAGTGGATGTAGTGGTAGGTGAATGTGTTGGGTGGTTGTAATGAGTGGATGTGTTGGGTGAAATGAGTGGATGTAGTGGTAGGTGAATGTGTTGGGTGAAATGAGTGTGCTAAAATGGTTATTTATAGGGAGAGGATGATGCACAAACTTCAAATTTCATCCATTCCTTTTGCTCCAAGCATATGCTATCCATTCCATGCCCAAAAATGCTCCAAAATGCACTTCTTTGCCACATTAACCCTTTGGACCTACAAACACACAAAAATAGCTTAAAATACTATAATAACTACAAACTAACAACATAAATGCCAAGAAACAAGCTAACTAAGTCGCATAAATATGCTCCTATTAGAGTATGAGATAAAACTCCATTTTAACTGACATGTCTTAAGCATCATACGTAAGTGGTTTCTGGTATTTTTGTTCCAGAGTGGCTGTGCTATTTTGTGCAAGTTTTTTCTGGAGTTCTTTACCTCGGACCAGTTATGGTAGATGTATGAGGGGATAAATGGGACCGAATGTTCATTGTTGACTCATGTGATCACTAAGGAA